CCCAACTATTTCCTAATAATAGCCATGCCTGAACATTTAGTATGTTTCCTTTTTCAAGGAACAGTTTGACCTTTACGAGTAGCGTGTTGAGATTGTTATTAATTCTTCGTCTAAACGAACCACGTATCAGGCAACAGTGGTGATTTGAACCGCCGGTCTCGACCACTTATCCAATGGGAAAGGAAACTGTTGTGACACGTTGCTATGAGTGGAAATCGACGTTCTCCGTTTGTAGACCGCCTATCGATTCACAACGCGTCATGCAACGCGACAAGTCGGCCTTTTTCAGCTTCATAATCGCCTTTGTATCGCAAAAACCTAGAAGACAGAGTACAAAACTGTTTGGATGTTTGTCCTGAGAAAAATCGGGCGTTTCTATGTCCCCAGGCGAGGTGAAAGTCGTGTTTAACGTCATACTTTAATCTTTAATCGATTAGCATCGCCGCACAGTCTGTTCCAACACTTCAAAAAGGCGCCTTTACCGAAAGCATTTTTGACAAATGATGCCCATACAAAGGACGATATTAAGAAAGATAAGTAATGATCCGGTATAACCGGCTAGGCAATTATTGTTCTCGTCATCGTTAAAGAACGTGTGTACGTTAATATCTAGGACGTTTTACGGAATCGGTTAAAACACAAGCGTTGGTCTGTTGATGGTGTAGGAATAAGTCGAACTTCACTACTTAGCTACATTCCTACAACGGCGATGTAATCTCGCAAATGGGAATAACGGCAAACATACCATTGATGTCTTGTATTTTGGACCGTGCACACATTTAAAATCAAAGATATTTCAAAACTTATACTGCTTAATAACTTCTTAATTAATCTTTTTATGTAAGGTTTTTGGTTGAAATGAAAAAGTCTGTGCCACGAGCGGGATTCGAACCCACGACCTTCGGGTAAATACGCCGCTGCTCTACCACTTGAGCTATCGTGACTTCGACCCACTCGGACACCAACTCCCCATCTCAACCTTTAGAATTATTAATTTAATTTCGGCTGTAGGGATGGGTGTCCGAGCGGATCGAAGTCATAGATCAAGTGGTTAGAGCAGCGGCGTATTTAGCCGAACGTCGTGGGTTCGAATCCCACTCGTGACACTAATTTTTCATCTCAGCCAAAAACCTTTGATAAAAAGAATAATTAATTGAGAATAATTAATAGGTCAATTATGACCACTAAGCAAATATGGATTCATTTGATCAAAGTTGAATTGAAAGGAGTTGGCCGTGAAAATCGGTATTCCGGAGCCGAATGATTCGATTTTATTTTTATACAAAAACAAAAAAAGCAAACAAAAAAATAGGTCGCACATTGTACAAAATGACTAAACCAACTGAACCATTTGGTCTGTATTTTTGTATGTGTATATAGGATAGAGTATCTTTTCGAATCGTTCCTTCCGAAGTTTTTAAATTTATTTTAACATTCAAGGGGGTTCGGTTTAACACATTTTTCGACCCGTACAAGGCCAATTCACTCTGTGGATATTTACACGCTCGTGAAGAGTGTATTCACCGCTCGGAATGTAAACAGCCTCGAACTATTAACGGCCGGAGACTGTTAACCTTGTTTCTATCAGTACAAGGACAAATGATAACGGGCGATAACCTAGCGGGCCTTGTTTCGAGGTGTCACTCCAAAAATGTTCAATAACTTTTAATAACAATTTTTCTGGGAGAGATATTGGTGCTTCTGGCATCGGGCGTCATCCCCGTCGACGGACGGACCGTGCAGGAGTTATCGAAGGGCCCACCTGAAGTGCAAGCCTCTGGTGATGAGCCGGTTTTTTATTCCAATGCCGTACCCTGCAGTCTTACATCCATTCTAATGAGCATGGTGCTCATGATTTCCTTTCCGATCCTGAATAAATCACGTCTGTCTGACTCGTAACGTTTTCCTTTGTAATATTTCAATCTGTTTACGTGGGCCTGAAACGATTCTCAGGGTTTTGCGTTTCATCGGCAGACAAAATCCAAATCGTGAGATATGAAAAGACCAATAATTCATATTTTCTGTCTGGCATAAATTTTTTTTCAGGATTCAATGAATCTATTACAGAACTTCCAATTACCATTCACGTTTTCCGGTTTAAGCATATACAAAAATATGTGAGATTGTATGAATACCTCGAGTGAACCTTCGCTGTCTGAACTGATTTTTAAATTATGATCAAATTTTGTTTTTAAGAAAATTTTTACACTTACAGTTTCATCTATTGCATCGATCGCTGATGATTAACTTCCTGGAAAATTTTTGTTTTATTTTATGAAATAAATAATTCTTCTCGAGGAATGGCATCAAGTTTATAACTCAACTGTTTTCCCAGCTAACATAAAATTTTCCTAGATATTGTGGCGTAGCTGAATAGAATATGCTTAGTTTTGTTTGTCACTTTTAGACATAATCGATTGGTCATTTGATAGACCCATTTTTGCCTAACTGGAGGATGCCCTTCATTTACAATTTTCAATTTTTTTGTGTTGAGATGTTTTTTCTTTTTCCCATTGGGTTGTTTGTGCTTGCCTCATTATGCTCATGCCTGGATTATGCTTCCAGTATTTGTTGCGTTCTGAAGTTACCCTAAGCTTCCAATTATTTTGTAATGTGAGCGTAGTTTAAGCCACAATTTAAATCAATGTTTATGAGCTCTTCCGAGGCTCCGTTTTCAACAAATATTTCTGCAGCGTCGTTGCCTGTAATTTCCTCATGACCATCCACTTTAGCGTTAAGCTTTCTTAATTTTTTTAGGGTATTTAAGCAGTTCTAGACGTCTTTTAAGGCTTGGAGATGTTTATTATTTACTGTTGCTTTTAAATCTGTCTGAGGAAGCTTCCTCCGTCAAGGCAGGTACAATAGCGATGTCAGAAAACCATAGAACCATCTAAGCACTAACTTCGAACCTTACCAGCTCGACGGTTGCAAGACCAGATTAAATCCATCTTTGGTGTAAGGACATACAGAATTTAATGAAAGCTTAGAAGTAGAAGAAAAAAGATAATTCCCTGAAAAATCACTGATATGGCCTAAAGCACTCTATCGATTAGGAGAATTCTTATAATAGGACAAGTTGGGAACTGGGAAAGGTAGTATGGAGGTTGTAAAATTTCTGAGCGCTTGTGACTGGAATGTCAAACAATGTCGCTGATAAATGCGTACATCCGTAATTGACATGAAATATGTGAAGAAACAATTTAAATTAGGTAATATGCATTCACACCTCTCAGATATTCAAATATGTTTTCCCTATAATCACCGAAATGTTAAGACATTTTTCATCTGAGGGTAGGCCACACCGGTAGCAGGTCAGATTGTCACCGGCTCATTACATCGGGGGAACTTTGTCTTTGGTCCACGAAAAGATGGACATGTGAGACTTATTTGAAGCCTTGTTAGGAAAATTCTTTCTTTTACTTCTTTTCTCAAATTGTCATTATATTAATTTAATTATTTTAAGCTATACCACATAAGCCGTGTAAATTAGGTGCCGCAGGCTCTGTCATTTTGCACTGTAAAGATCAAAATTTAAAGAAATTCCAAAAGAAACTGATTTTTTTTCCACTCTTTATACCATGCAATATTTCCTTGTACTACTTCTTTTTAGATAGCGGTATAATACATTTTATCTTTGAAATTATTAGTTTTTTCACATACTCTATGTGTAATTTAAATGTGAACCCACGTAACAAATTTTATAGTCCTCTAAACTTTAGTCATCTTTAAAAAAAAACTTTCAAACTTTTCTAGCTCTTTAACAACTTGATACCCCCCAAATTGTATTCCACAAGTGAAAATACTTTGAACAGTTGCCTCATACGCTTTGGCTTTACAGGGCTATGTAACATTTTTTCCAAACGAAACCATGACCGGTTATTTCACTTTTTTCTAAATTAAATCATGTTTTTTATTTAAATTTTTATTGATAACATGATTTTATGAATGATTAGAACTCATGCCACAGCTAAGTGTTAAAAATAGTTTATTAATTAATTTGTTAAAAGATAAAAATCAAGAGTTGACATATTCAACTAAGGAGATATCTCTAAGAATTTTCGAACCCGTACTTATTTACAAAAACGATACGATGTGTTATTTGACCATAATTTTATCAGGAATTATTTGTTTTTCACTTTTTATTCCATAGCAAATATTTTGATTAAAAAATCTTTTTTTAATCTCATCTGATGAAAATGCTGTCACACTTAACATTGGGAATGATTAACCAAATCCGGTGGGAAATAGAAAGGGCAAAAATATAAGAAAGCCCGAAAATCAAGGACGACACAATTTTCCCTATTGTCATATTGATATTTATTTATTTTTTAAATATGTCAACTCGTTGAGCGCTAATTTTCAGTATTGGGCAGTTTTCATTGTCATGTTTATTTTTAACAAAAATATTAAATTATTATTAATTTTTTGTTTACATGTTTTATTGAGTCGATTGGCCGTAGTGATTTATCAAAGTTGATCGTTTGTCCACAAGATTATTTTTATCGATTCTTTTGATGTCGTTTTATGTTTGATAACTAGTTTTTTGAACGAGCTTTGTGCTTCTGAGTGCCGGTCGTTTTTTCCCCCTGTTTAATAAACCTTGATTCGGTGCGAAATGCCTTGTATTTAAGGGATTCTCTTGATCACCGAATCTATCAACCTTCCCACATTTTGATAACAACAATGAAGAAATGAAGCAATTAAAATAATAAAACTTTGTAAATTCTATTAAAGAATAAATGATTAAATTTTTACTATCAAATAAGCTAGTTAAATTATCCAAATTTTTTCCAATTTAAATATGATAAAAATGGCAAGCTGTGTTCGTCAAAGAACTGAGTTTTTTAATACTCTTCCCTTATATATTACAAATTACAATTGATTGGGAAAACTTGCGTGTTTGATATATTAATTATTAATCAAGGGCCGGGGTGATCCGTATTTCCCTTTTACCTTACCGGACCCACGCCCACGCCCAAAACTTAATTCCGACTCCTTACCTTTAAAATCCAGAGTGAAACGAAGAATCCAGCTCGCTAATCCTTTTAATACCCGTGCACTGTCACTGTCCCACTTGTCTTTTTGATATATTTTTTATTCAACCAAACAGGAAAACGTATTTAAAAAAAAACTTGATTGACCGGGAAAGGGGTATCACTGGTTCTTCAGTCAGAATCGTCTTTCCGCTTCATCACCCGCCTGTAACAAACAAATTATAAACATTTATTAAAAGGCACTAAGAAAAGATTTATTTTAAACCGGAAAAGTTCTAAAATTTATTATTTTAAGGTACAGATGCTTTCAAAGTACTTGATGAATACCTCGATTTTGATGTTCCTCCCAACAAGAAGAAAAAAATCAAATATTTACACATCGTCTTACATTTAGCGTAAACAGTAAAAAATGTGATTAGTGAAAATTAAATTAAGTCGAGATCTTGGATGGTAAAATGTCTTTGGGGAAGTTGGCACGTTTTGCTAAACCTTTGTTAGGAGTGAGCTTAAATTAAGCACGTCTGAGTTCATTTAAAGGCAATTCATCCCTGAATGAATTGAAGGGAGAGGCGAGGAATGTCGGTTTTCTTCTATACCGACAAATCGGTCTGGAAGAAAGTGAAAGCTGGAAGCCGAAACGCCACTTTCACCTGCTTATGTCACCAGGAAGCGGCGTGCTCTTCTTGAACTTGATCCGCCCATATTTTCATCCGGTTGAGTCAAGTGCACCGACTAGCCAGCAGGTTTTTTTGCCAATTTTCACTTAATAAAAATAGACAAACTCGATGTGCAAATAGATACACGACCGTGATGACTAACAAGCCTTTTGGAAAGAAAGGTGTGTTTGGATCAGTGTTGGCCTATCGTCCCTGTTTTGGTCTTGCAGGCGCATTTCGGCTTCTAGTCCTGGATACTTGGCGAAAAGCCGATTAAGCAGACTAAAAAGATCGGAAACGAGCCCGGAGACCTAAGGGAAAATCTCACAAAAGGCAATCTAAATTTTTGAATTGAAAAAACTTTATAAATGGACTAGAGAAAACTCCTGGGCTCAGCCCTTTCATTTTTTTTATATAGATGATTATACAACAAGACGACTGAAAACACAGCGAGGATAGGGCTTGATAACTGAAATTGTTCCATTTTCCCATAGAATCAAGTACGAAGGATTTTCCCCTGCTCAATATTCGTAAGGTTACTTTGGTTGTAAATCGACGCAGTTATATTATAAAATAATGTAAGAGTGAAAGCGTTGGGTGGAAGTAGTTTTAATTTAACTTTCTTTTACATTTATTCATTTTCAATTCAAAACCATTCTGTGCTCTTTGAGGAAGTCTTATTTTAATTCTTGAAAAGTTTCCAGGTAATTAAGGTTCAAAAATGTAAGAAAAATGTAAAAAAAGTTGATTAATATAATTATTATGTTTATTAGGTTAGTTCTTAAATTAAATCAAAGGTTATGCACAATTTTGTGAAAGAACGTTTCATTCTTATCATTTTTGTGTAATATTCAAAGCTTTTGACAATGCCCGTTTGTTAAATTTTAACCCAATTTGTAAAGGAACGGTTTGAGATAGAATAAAAATTTTCAGACGGAAAATTCGCTTTGAAGGTCGTTTTTCAATTTTTTTGCAAATTGCAGCAGAATCGAGGCCGGCTCAAGGCCCAATTGCATAGTTTTTCCGCTGAAACTACTTTTTCCGTCGCGATTGGCGAAAAACCGCGGTCGTTCACCTTTTCCCACCTTGGACGTAATTTTGTGCATCCCCTCGCCCCGAGGGAGAATTGTACTTGCAGGCTGGAGACGAGTTTTCACGTTGCATAAACGGCTGGTTTCCCGGCCGAAAAAAAAAACGGAACACGGACGAAACCCGTTCAGAAAGCTTCACGGTCATCGATTCCGGGTCAGTTCCTGGTGGAGCCCTATTTTTTCACTTTTCTCCCTTAACAAGCTACAGCACACTCTCGAATATACTGTACAAAAATTACCTTTCATAACGTAAATGGCTATAAACACAATTTACTTATAAACATGAGTTTTGCAGAGTGGAGAGGCTTCCAACCGAATACAGCAGAACAAATAATCTCCAGATGCAGTATCTATCTCTGAATTTTGCTAATAATTCCCACGTGAAATGCCCATGAAATAGGAAGTATGGAAATTTCAGGTTTTTACTATTATTTTTCTCATTTCCTGGAATGATTAGGTAAAGTAAAGAAAAACTGGTATAGCAAGCAACTATATTATCTGGGATTGTGTCGTTATCGGTTATCACACACAAACATACCTACTGAAGATGGCGAAATGTCAAAATCCTTGGCTGTCAGAAAAAATCATTATTTTTGCCGTCTATCCGGCCTCTTTGTCTCCCAAATTGTGGTAGATTATTTATTCCTGTGGCACGCTTGAATCCATAAAGAATGCAACGGTCTTCCTATTGGTTTTGTTTTGGACTAAACGTTATATAAAGTTTTGCGTTGTCGTGTTTAGGCGTTAACACGGCGTTCATTTCAGTAAGGTAAAGGTCGCGGGTTCGAATCGAGCAGCACTGCTTTCCGATACCTGGAGGGTTGATACGATCTCTGCAGTTGCGAACCATAATCTGTGGGTTTTATTGGTCTGTTTTCTCCAAGTGGTTTCAGATTCAAGCCGGGTTCAGGAAGGAAACTTACTTAACTTGCTACGACCAAAAATAATTATAATAATTCGTCAACATTTGCATATCGTATATAATTCGTCAATGATTTGTGTTAGCGAATGAAAGAGCTGTTTTCTACTACATACTCATGGTTATAGGCCGTGGTTTTATATATAAAGTGAGAAACCATGAAAATGCTTTCTGACACCCCACAGGGGGTGGCACACCCGAGGTTTAGAGCCGGTAAAAAAACGCCAAACTCCGGTCTCGACGTGAAAATTTCTAAAAATAATCATCGGATAACCGGAAAATGAATGTTTGGTAAACCGTCGGCAAATAAATTCTATAAAAATAGAAAAATCGATACGTTTTCACTCTCAGTGCCTCGAATAAACGGGAAAATTCCTGGGAATGGATTTTCCACTCGTCTAAGCCCTATTTCTCGTGGGCTGAGGGGCAAAACAGGCCCACTCTCGTAAATAGAACATAAATAGAGCATGATGACGGCGAGGGGTGCCACGCCGGTCTCCATGGTTACCTGGCCAACGAAACAAACCAACCGGGTCACCGAGGTCAAAGTCGTCGCCCCCGCCGCCAATTTTACCGCCCCCGCAACAACAGGCGACCTCTGACCTTTGCCAAATCACTTTCAAACGTAGCCTCTTTCTTGTATTGACATTTTTGACTTTCCGCCCTCGGCTCACTTACTCACTTTGAGCTTTTTAAATTTAAACCGGAGGAAAAACAACGATCATCGCACTTCGTCTGATGTCGCCTAAAAATAATTAATTTAGTGTAATAAGATTTCCTTTTGAAGTGGAATTATAAAAGCGGTTACAACCTATTTTAAATCTCGTTTACTTTCATTATATAACTTATAAACAAATTTTTTTTAAAATTTGAGTTTTAATTTTTCTGAGTGTAAATTGATGACCAGGGCAATGATGAAGCTGTTCGCCTTCGGTCGATATCCAATTCCCCTAATGACCCGGTGATTAACGGCGGTCGAGTTGTCGCCCTTCATCGGAAAGTTTTACGACCAGGTTTTTCGCCGAGGCTGAATAAAAGAAGCGAAAAAAAAAATAAATAAACCGAGAGCAGAGAATCGAGCGATTAATTCAAATTGTCCGCTAATTGGAATAGAGTTTCCATACGGACGCGAGGGTTGTCGACCCACGTGAATCAGACAGTCGGACTTTTAAACAAAAGTCACTTTTTTAAAAGGAAAACCGTGTTAACGATTTCATATCTCAGGCGTTTACGTGAAAAGGCGGATGCGTCTCAAGGTTGAATGGTCATGAGCGTTTTTGTGTTGTGAGGTCATGCCGTTTTATTATGCCAAGTAAAATTTACAAAAAAAAACAGGTTTTTGTGTGTGCAGTTTAATGGGTTTCGGCATATTTCCTGGCCATCACCATTAGTCATTTCCTTCAACGTTCATCCCATGACAATTATTGCAACACATTTTAACTGCGGTCTTACAATGTACGACCGACCTAAATTATCACCGATAAACATTACACAATGGACAAGTGACATTGAAAAGATAAACCTAGCTATAAATTTTAATATAATCTTTTCATAGTTTACAATTGAACACAATAAGATGTAAGAAAAACGTCTCTCTACTATAACCCATTCATAGTTCTATCGTATAATCATGTTTTGTATTAATAACTGCATCATTTCTTTAAAAAAAAGTCATACATTTCCAATAGATTCTATGTAAATTGACATTGAAAATTTAGGGCATACTAGAATCCTTCTTCTATTCACAATATATTGCTGATGACGAGCCATCCTGTCATCTCATCCTAAACCTTCAGAGCTAGTCGTAACGCCCAACTCCATTTAAATCGAACTTTGGCGAGTCAACCTGAATACTAATAACAATGGTACCATCCGACCAGTTTTGTAAGTGAGCCAGTTCAGTATCAAAATGATCATATAAGAAAAAATATTATAAAGCTAGGTAAAAAACCCTTTTCAAAATATTACACACTGTTATTTTAGGTTTTTCAATTACTTTAGAGGAAGCTGAAGCTTCCATCGCGCAAAAAGAAAAAGAAGGGATTAATTAAAAGTAAGTGGATTCACAGTTTCAACACTTAACCGATTAGTTTGTGCTTATTTTCTTTCTTCTTCACAGTACTGTGGTTTTATAAGTGAGAACAATAGGTTAATCTATCAAAAGTCTAACAATCCACGAATTTTTTATGAGTTTGCTACATTGTCGAATGCTTGCAGTTTTATTGGACGTGTTCACTAAACGGCATAAATAAACATAATTGTGCAATACAATAAAGTATGAACGACGATCTGTCAAAAAATACATAAGTACCACGATCTTCTTAGTTTTGTTTGAAGGGGCAACGGTCTTCACTAAGATGGTCTGCGGGTATTTTTCATTGTGAGTCCGACGGCGCAAATACATGATATGGACAATAGGCATATCCTTGGATTAAAAAGACCCTGGACCCCGGCTAGGCCTTGTGCAAATTGAGACGGAGTGAAAATGAAGAAAATGGCACAGAGTCGCGCGACTTCTCGACCCAGCAATTTCGTCAAT